GTGAATGAAATTATTGCAGCTGCAGTATGAATGTTATCTAATCTTAACTAAAATTGGAGGCTGAACAACATATCCCATCAACCCATGCTGTACATGAGTTTATGGTATGAAAACAGAACCAGAAGACCAGAAAGAAAGCCTCCTGACTTGTGGGGCCTCTTCCTGTTCTTGGAGTTGGTGGCATGCTCCAGCAGCTTACGTATGCAGTGCAGCAAGTTTAGGTAAGTTTACATATAGATATATTTTTATTCAAATTATTTTTGCATGTTTATTTAATGAAATAAAAAATGAGCATTAATTTCCAGTCTAGAGTGTCCCTTTAAGTCAGGGGTGGGGAACCTTTGGCCCTCCAGATGTTTTGGACTACATATCCCATAATGGTGGCAAAGCACCAATGGAGATGCAGTCCAAAACATCTGGAGGGCCGAAGGTTCCCCACCCCTGCTTTAAGTAGTGCAGCTGTGAGTTGAATAACTAAGGATCAGATCTGTACCATTCTTCAATCTGTGGCTGTTTAATAAAAAAAATAGCTTAGTCATATCCAAATTATGGAAATATATTTGCAAGCTAGACTCTTGAAATACATTTAAAGTTGGTAGGCGATCGCGACTCGATGCTACGAGATGCCAGTGGAAGTATTTATGTTTTCTGTCATTATCAAACATTTTTTACTTAAGAGGCATTCACTTAAGATAACATTGTCTAAATAATACTTACAAGTAAAAGCATGTCGCCGTTTTCCGGAATTTATATTTGTCATACAGCCGCCGCTTACATTTTGAAAGTGGATTTTTTTATAAAACCATATTGCTTCTTCCATAACCTTTTTAGTGTCAAATAGATATGCAATATATTGCTCTGCGCTGCGTCTATCAATTAGGCTTTTAAGGAGCATGCTTGGATGGTTGCTGGGAGAACGGCGCCAGATCGTACACAGCTTTAATAAACAGATTGCCTTAAGGCTGACATTCAAGATTAACGTTAAGATTGGAGAATGCTAAATGTCTTTCACTTAGTTCAACGCAGTTTGTTTATTCAGCAAAAAAATAAATGTACTTCCTTTTGCAGACATTATTTCTTTCAAGTGAGGATTTATGAGACAAATGCAAACAGGGAGTTATTTACTGAATGGTGAATTGTAGCAATCAGGGTTAATTGAGCTATTGTAGTTGAAAGTGGAAAAATCTCTATGTAAGCTAGTATTCATTCTGGTTATTTTAATTTAAAATCTGAAATTCACACTGAATTCCTAGGGGGTTTACACACTAAAGCAGGCATGGGGAAAACTTAGATCCCCAGATGTCATAGAACTCCAATTTAGAATGTGAAAGCATCATGGAAATTGCAGGTCTACAATATCTGGGGATCTCATGTTTGCTCACCTCTAAACAGTAAGAGAATGTGGTGAATTAAAAACTAAATTGCAATATTTTTTCATATGAGCACTTTTGATGCTAAGTGTATAAATGGCATTTAGAGTTGTCACGGAACCCCATTCCAACATGGACAAAAAAAGGGCCATTGTCATAATGGGAATGGATATGGAAACCCCCTGGACTCTTATTCTGCCTCCCAGCTGGAATTAGAGACCTCTGGGGATCGGCTGGGCCTGTCTGCTGCACATCGAGCGCCTGATTGGGAGAGAACCTTGAACTGTTTGCCTGATCAGGGTTGTGCCGCAACCCGTTGAATCTTTGACCAGATATCGCTCGGTCCACTGACCGCCAATCAGGGCTCTATTTGGGTGCTCGGTGTCAAACTATTCAGGGTCATATAATGTTTTCGGGAGGGCTAGCCAGAACCCCATTTTGTAAGACCGAGACTAACCAGCCATACACCTGGAACTTTCTTTAGATTGGAGAATAGTCACAACCCAGTAAAACTTTAACAAACTCTAACATGGGCCTGGATTCTCGATCAGGGAGTTATTTGGACAGTGAGGGCACTCAGTAACAAGCTATCCAGGGACATGTAATTTGTGGAGTTGCTGTGCAGGGAAAGGAGGTTTTGGGGTACATTTTGTACATCTTACCTCTAGGCCTGAGAAGGAACAGCTGGGAGATCAGTCTTCCTGCTCCTCACTGCTCTCTCACGCGCGCCCTCTGTAGTGATGCGGGGTGCCGGAATATGACGTCATTCTGGCCCGGCATCACTAAACTGAGGGAGGGAGCAGTGAGGAGCAGGAAGGGAGACCCCAGGAAGAGGCCCCACACTGACTCCCAAAGGTAGATAGCAATAAATAAAATGATTTGTGAGTATGTGCAAGAATGTGTAAATGTGTGTGCATCTGTCAGTGTGTATGTGTACGTCTGTCAGTGTGTATGTCTGTGTCTGGCAGTGAGTTTGTGTGTCTGTTGTGTGTCTGTCAATGAGTGTGTGTCTGTCAGTCTGTGTGTGTGTCTGTCAGTGAGTGTGTCTGAGTCTGTGTGTGTGTCTGTGAGTGAGTGTGTCTGTGAGTGAGTGAGTGTGTGTGTCTGTGAATGAGTGTGTGTGTCTGTGTCAGTGAGTGTGTGTGTTGATCAGTGTTGCGATGGCTGCGGCTGGACAGTGGAGGACCTGGAGGTGCACAGAGGCACGCAATGCCACGTCACATTCAGACGTGACGTCAACGTGCTCCTTCTTCACAGGGTTTCAGGGAGTAGCAAGAGGATGCGCTTTGGCACAGAGGCTGGACTTCCATACTGGCAGCAGGAATGTGAGTGGAGTCTGCTTGTTGGCTAATATTTTTTTTTTTTTTTTAAACAGGGACTGGGGTTTATTAGAGGAAGTGCTAGGATTTAGTATAGAGGGGGGACTGGGATATAGTAGAGGGAGGGGCTGGGGTTTTCGAAGAGGGTGATGCTGTTTTTTTTTTATACTGTATTTTTCTATGAACATGAAAGTTTTGGGTTTTTTCTGCAACCAACTTAAAGTGGGCCTGACCCTATAGTTCAAAATCCACCATTAAGGTGG